AGAGAGAGAGAGAGAGAGAGAGAGAGAGAGAGAGAGAGAGAGAGAGAGAGAGAGAGAGAGAGAGAGAGAGAGATTGCTGCACTGTTTCCGCTGCTCTGTTTCCCCACTCCCTACTCCTATTCGTCCCATTCCTTGCCTTCATTTTCTTTTTTGTCTTTCTTGTGTTTGTTTATCCTCGTTGAACTTGGTTTTCTTTCTGCATCATCCACCTCTTCTGCAACAATGCTTCAGATTTCCTTGGGCCGGGGTAAAAGAGGCTGGAAACAACTGGGGGTCTAATGAGTAGAGCATCCCTCCGCCATTGGTAAACTACTAAACTTTCTTTTTTTTTTTTTTTTCAAAAAGGCCCAGGTTGTTGTAGAGGTGGGATACTAGAACAATGACAGTTACCCACAGTACCCGGCCACTTGGTTGTCCAGCTGAATCCCTCTGAAGACCCCACCCACCCGTCCTCTTATCATTTTTGCCCTGGTGCACCCCCACCCACCCTTCCTCTTATCATTTTTGCCCTGGTGCACCCCCACCCCCCCTGTCCTACCCTAGTGTTAACCACCCAGGACCATCACCCATTGCCATATTGGCAGGGTGACCTGACCAGACAGCCATATTGGCAGGGTGACCTGACCAGACAGCTGTTGCAGGCACCCGGGCTAGGCAGAGAGACCTACCCCCCTGCTCAGCCCTGGTTGAAGCAGACGCCGTGCAGCCGATTGCACGGGGACTTCGGGAGCCAGGTATGAACATGCTACCACAGGTCTTCATGAGGGTGCACAGTGTTAGGTTGTATTACTAGTCGAAGAGTGTTCTATTGTAGAGAGAGCTGGGGATCCTCCGTTCCCTCATATATCCCTCGTTCCGGCCCCGCTTTACAGTATCTCCTGACACCCTCGTCATCCCGTACTAAGGAACTGCTATGCCAGCCTCAACCCTATGCTTCGTACTAGGAGGATAGCCAACCCTGAGTCATGTGTGTATTGCAGTGTTCTATTGTGTTGATGGTAGAGAGCTGGGAATCCTCTGTTCCATCGTATATCCCACTGGAGCCCGTTCCGGCCCCGCGGTAAGGTGCAGTATCTCCTGACACCCCCGACATCCCGTACTAAGGAACTGCTATGCCAGCCTCAAGCCCTAAGCTATGTACTAGGAGGATAGCCAACCCTAAGTCGTGAACCATGGACTGTATCATGGACTATGTGTATGGACCCTGGAGAATCGGTATCATGGACTATGTGTATGGACCCTGGAGAATCGTTGATAGAGAGAGCTGGGGATCCTCTGTTCCCTCGTATATCCCTGGACCTGTGTGTGCATCCAACTTTCGTGTGGATTATGAGTACTTTGGATTATATGTGCATTCTTCTTTTTTTTTTGTCGGGGACCCCACTCACCTCCTCTAGGCAATTTCTCCCTGGTGTATCCACCCACACTCCCTCAGATTACGTTAGTGACTGCCGCTGAGGACAATCACCCCTCACCCTCCTTTTTTTTTTTTTTTTAAACAAAACAACCCGATCGTCTGCTAGGGGTGCTGATAGGAGCAGACACCACTAGGTGGGATGACCCGAGGGACAGCGCGGTACCAGGCACCAGTGCTAAGCAGGAAATTCCATTAAGCCCTGGCCGAAGCATATGTTTGAACGAGCCCTGGCACACGGGTCCGTGCTTCGGCCGCCGCTAGGCATGTATGTTTTTTCTACAAGCTCAGTCGGTAGACCCCGGATGTCCCCACGTAATTCTGTACCCGGGTCACTCTATGGGAATCTAATTGTGCTCGCTTGACTACCATAGGCAGTGTCTAATGGCCGAGGAAAGGTCTAACCTATGACAACCCCTGAGCAACCCGAGTGAAAGAAAAACAAAAAACAAAAAAAAACTAGGGCTGTGGTTATGTTCGGCCTTGTCTATTTTATTTTTTTATTTTATTTTTTTTGGTTGTTGTTGTTGTTGTTGTTCCACTGTAATTAGTCGGTTGGTTGCGTCCTCTGCAAGTGATATTACTTCGTAGACTTATCCCTTTCTGGGTTAGACTCCCCCGTTTATTCTACCTTACCTCCCGCTGGACGACCATGTTCAAATGGTCAGCCTGCATCAAAGTGGATTAAGCCCAATCTGCTCTTGCTCCTCCTAGGGTGGAATTCATCCTGAAATCAACTCCCATCCACAATGGCGCCCTTGAAGAAATGTGCCCCCCAACCTGCCTGTTCCTCTCCCCTAAATACCCCTTGACTCTACCCTGTCCCCCACAAGGTTTCCAATCCCCAAAGGTGTCCCATGTGGGAGTAGGCCAACCCTGATCTGCACTTGTTCCCTCGGTGATTGAAATTCATCCTTTTTTTTTAAATAATTTTGGTAAATACCTGTTGCCGGCCAACTACCCAGAGGGTGATAGGAGCACCCCCCAGGTTGGAGGATGCCCTTAGATGACTCGAATCTGTTCGTGGGGAGCTGCTCGTCCTTGAAATGGGGTCCAGCTTCCCTATGACACGGTATATGATGTTGATCCAAGCATCGCCTACAATCCACAATGATGCCCCCCCTGGAGAAATGCGTCCCCAACCCATACCCCCCCCTTCCGAACTGAACTGCCACCCTGCTACCCGTTTTTTTTTTTTTTGAAAAACCCAGTGTTGTAGAGGCTGGATTAGAGACATATGAGAGTCACCTCCGGCACTTGGCCATGTGGTAGAGACTTTTTTTACTTTTCTCTAGAGGAGGATCCCATGATGTCATGAGTAATCCAGCCTTGTGCTAGGCTGGGGGACAAGTGCATGGAGTGTCAAATTAACACCAACTGGACTTGTGAAGCAGAGGATGAGGGCTGACTGGGGTTGAACGCACAACCTCTCCCTTGCTACTCCAGAGCTCTAACCAACTGAGCTAGTATTTCGGGTTTCTTAGGGTAGGGCAAACACAACCCTTGCGAAAAAGAGGGTGGGTCAAGGAGATTTCTGAGGGTCGGGCGAAAATGAGCCTCCGGAAAAAGAGGCTATTCGGATTTCTTAGGGCGAGGCAAGAATGAGCCTTGGGAAACGACGCTGCATAGATTGGATTTTGTAGGGTCTGGCGGGTGAGCATATTCCATCACTATAGTGGGGATGCAGGTAGGATTAGGTCTCTGCTTTTGGGGGCCAAGGTCCTAGGTGGGGTGATGGGGTCCTGTTTGGGGGGTGGGCTGGTTGGGACGAGCTCTGCTGGACGATATCAGGGGGGAACCTACAGTAGTGGTTGTCTTAGAAATCCCAGTAGGAGGGGGTGTTAGTGAACAGGCTCTGGTGGAGGGGGTCGTTAGGGAACCTGCAGTAAGGTCT